AGATTTTCCTAAGCATAATTTTGAATTCTTTTGAAATTTATTAAATAATTATGACATTTATTTATTAGAAAAAAACTTTGGACCAAGTTTATTTTTTACTTACCATCTTTTTTGTATGTCATAACTAAACGCATTTGAATTGTTTATTTTTTACTTACCATCTTTATACCCTTGCAGAGGGTATTATGATTTCAGTCAGAAGTTTGCAACGCAGTGAAGGAGACGTTTCCGACCCCATAAAGTATATATATTCTTGATCAGCATCACTAGACGAGTCGATCTAGCCATGTCCGTCTGTCCGTCTGTCCGTCCGTTTCTACGCAAACTAGTCTCTCAGTTTTAAAGCTATCGGGATGAAACTTTCGTAAATATGTCGGAACCAAACGGATCGGACAACTATATCTTATAGCTCCCATAGGAAGGATCAAAAAAAAAAACGTAAAAAAATTCTAGCTCCGGTGTTTTTTGAAATTTTACCTTCTACTCATGGGAACATTTTTTTTTATATATTTCTGAATTTCGGTTTTTTTGTTTTTTAAATCGGATCACTATATCATATAGCTGCCATAGGAACGGTCGAAAAATTAAATGGAAATTAATGGGAAAAAAATTATATCTTTGTTGGTTTTTATTACAGTTCCTTCTACTCTGGGATATGACTATTTTGAAATATTTCCGAATTTCGATTTTAATTTTAAAAAGATCGAACTACTATATCATATAGCTGTGATAGAAACGATCGAAAAATTAATGTGAAATAATAAGAAATTTAAAATTTTTGCGATTTGTAAATTAATAGAATGATCTGCAAGGGTATATAAGCTTCGGCTTGCCGAAGCTTCCTTTCTTGTTTTTGTTTGTCATAAGTAAACGTATTTGAATTGTTTTCGAAATGGTACGGAATTTCAATATTCTTTATTTAATGTTTAAAATGTAGGTTCTTAACAAGAGCTCCAAGTATTAACTACAATGTAATGAGAGATAAAATGAGAGATAAAATAATAATGAGAGATAAAATAATAAATAAAACTTATGCAATTTACAATAACTTAACAATTAAACCCCCATAATCACTCGTGACCCCGTTATTAAACTTTGGGAAAGAAGACCTAGATGCTAATTTCATAACTCATCTGTCATTAATATTATTTCGATTTGTATTCTTTAGTATTCCGAAATAAATATTTTGTGCAGTAAAGTTGTTAGAAAATATTAGTATTTAAAGTTGTAGACTTGATATTGTTTTGAATGACACGCATAACTATATTTTTTTTAATTCACTCGCGCTAGAAATGTACTTCCTATAGGAATATTATTTGGCTTACCAAAGGTCGTTTTTGACCATTCCTAATTATAAACGGTCGAGGGGCTCCGCCTCCAAGCAGGTCAAGTCTGCTTCGCCAAACAGTTCATATCCAAATGGCCAAAATAGAAGCCCGGCACTGGCACTTCCACGCATTGCACAATAATTTGTGCTTGTGAATACTTGGCTTTGGGGGCTGCTCCACATATCGCTCATATCGCTTGAATGTGCAGTGTTTGATTTGATTTGGCACTTGTCCCTCGACCCTATCGAAGTCCAAAATCGCATGGCATCAAAATTCACCCGACTTGCGGTGGCGATCGGCGCTTTTGGCGGACGCACTCCGCCTGCCAAGTGGGTGAGGCTCCGATCGATGATATGGGGCCGCGGATCGACCACGTTTCTAGCATATCTGCGTGGAAATTTCAATTTCAGTTTCAGGTCGTGTCTAACTGGAAGATATTGGCGGCAGATACGATACGATGTCGATGTCGAACCGATTGCCGATCAGAGCGGAGTGTGGTCCGCAGGAAATCCATGCCTCCAGCCGTGTCATGTAATCCGCATCGATTGGGTAAACGATTTCTGCGATGGCGCATAAATTGTGTCCGAAAACTGATTGGCAGTTGTGGGCCAGCAGGAAGCCCCCGCTAATAACACGTACCAAAATCATCCATCCATCTTGGTTTAGTCGCACCAATATGCAAATCCAAGGAAACAATCTAATAAAAATATCTTGTAGTTTTTAAAGAAGAAAGTGTTCCATTTTTGTTTTACACCATTCATTATCATTGGCATTTTATTTAACTTTTTTAACATTTTTTTTCAAAATTATGAAAGCTAGAAATTTAGCTCTGCACTTCTCATTCAAATCTTTTCAAATAAAACTACCGCCTTTGAAGGCGCAATCTTTAATTTACCAATTTTCTGTGCCTACCCATTTAATAACCATTCACTTAGCATCCCAAAAGCTTTAACATTTTTTAAGTGTTAGTTCAAGCGTATAAATCACTTAACCACTTCACAGACTACCAACTCTACTAAAATAAATAGTTAATTTTCCCAAAATACCATAACAACTTATTACCATCCAGGCATTTGCAGTAAAAGAGGAAACAATTTCCAGTTTCATAGACTCTAGAACTGATATTCAATTACTCAGATATTAATCAAATTCTAGTGTTCATCAGTCTCCACTGGAACGCGTTAGATTGATTTATGGGGTAGATATCTCATATCAATCTGGCTGGCTTTTATCAAAAACGATTTGTCCACTCATGTTTAACCGATCGACTGAACAGCCGGTCATGTTCCGCCGTCCAATTAGACAGCTATTTCGTTTGGCTATATGTATCTGCATAACGACGAGCACTTGGCGTGTTTTACATCATGTTGGTGCTGAGTGAACCATTGAGTCGGCCTGTGCGTCAGAGTCTCAATTGGAGGCTGGCTCTAGTGGCCAGCTGTTCGACTCTGGGTACCAGAGATCTATTACACAGAAAAAACTAGTACTTACATATTCAGAGCTTATCAGCTCAGCTTATCAGAGCTTTAGTATGATAAAAGTATTGTATATTTCTAATTGTTATTTTGAAATTAAATATTTAGAACGCCAAAAAGTATTTTACATTACCAATATATTTTTGTAATGCAACCTACAAACTTTAGGGATTGTCAGGTACTGAACAACATCATAAATATCTCAAAAACGTCATTTCAACATATTATTAAATGATATAATCTTTTAGTCCTTTTCGATAGAATTTCTTACTTTTATCTAGATCAAAATAATCATCGAATCCTAGACCCCATTTCTTTATGTGCAGTTTTTGGACCTGGTCCGAGTTTTAGTGTGGTCCACATTCACAGAAATCAAAACTCACCCAACAGGAAGTATTTGCATGTGCAGATCTCGGGATCCCGAACCAAAACGATTCGCGAGCGCGTTCGCAGAAAGCGAAAGTAATCATCCACCGCAGCGGCCACCGGGTGGATTATTGTTTGGTTTTGCCCACGGGCACGCATGGTTAAAGGGGGCGCGGGGCGGCCGGGGGGGGCGTGGCATGGAAGCCATGGCATATTTATCGCACAGACAAATATCCATTATGCAATTTGGCATGTCTAAAACGAGCAATTTGCCGCAAATGCAATAATATCCCGGCAAAGGGGGTGGGGTAAGCCGGTGGCTTGGTGGCTCGGCTCATCGGTGGTTCGGTGGGGCAGGATGGCAGTGGTGCGCCCTCAAACGCAGCCAAAACACACTGGCCTACATATACACAGAAAACCCGAAAGAGTAAAGGAGAAAATAAAATAATGATAGTGATAGTTTAACCCATTTTGGGCCGACTAACTTTGTGGGTTGTTTACAAATTAGGTATAAATTTTATAAGTTTAAAGTACCGAATTATGAAGTGAAGTTTGGAAAATGTAATATACTTTGAATATAATACAAAAATTTTAAGCTTAGAAAAGTTCTGATAGTCTAACTCTAGAACAATAAAATGAAGTAATAAAACCTTTTAAAAAATTCTTTTGCCAAATATGTTTTAAAAAATAGTTGAATAGATAGGGGAATTTATAAAATTTTATAATAATTAACATTTGTTTTTATAATTCCTTATTTATTTTCTATTTTTTTCAATTTGGGTTACTAAACACGCGCCTCCCTGTTCAGCCTTAAATGGGTTAAGGAAAGTCCGCAAATTAAAGCTCTTGACAGTTGATTTAACACACAGCAGCAACATGCAACAACTAGTTGCAACAGCAGCTGGCGTGGCCAACGCGTTATGTCAGGGGCATTATAGAATGGGCCAAAAAAGATAAAAAATCAAAATCGAATTTCTGTAAAATCGTGTGATGCATTGCTTGATTAGCGCCACCACTGTTACTGTTAAGTAATTGCCCGAAATGCGTTTTATTGCAAATTTACGGCGTACGTGTTTCGTGTTTCATGTGTCGTGATGAGTTTGTTTTTTTTTTGTTTGAGTACATCCAAAAGTTGACTCCTGTAATTCCGACGCTGACCCATATTAATTGACACCACCGGCGACAGTTACCACAAAAATACAAAAAAAGTAAACATTCAAGGTCGTTCGCTGGAGATGGCTTCAAACCGATATGGAAGGGCCAAAAATTTGGATTAGCGTGACAACTTTGTTTTTTGTCTCCGCGCTCACGTTCACTTTTTGTGGCGGTCCGCAGAAGGCCGCTAAGTGATCCATTCAGCAACGTTATATGTGCTACTTGGTCATTCACTTGGAATAATTTTACCCCCACTCCGCGCTGTTTTGCGATTATGATTATGAAATGAGTGTAATTTGCCTCGTATTGCACAAAGGCCCCCGACAAGTCAAAGTTCGATCGTCTGCCTTTGTGGACAACTGAAGCATGGACCGCTCCTAACCCTCCCCCTTCCACCGTTCAATGGGTCTTAACCCCTCGTAAACAGAAGTCGACAACAGGTAATACCTACCTGCTAACATATGGCCAACAGTTCGACGTCCACTGTTATGGTTATTGTCGCTCTGCTGTTGCTGCCGATGTTGCTGTTGCCGCCGATGTTGCTGTTGGGCTTCGCTGTTGTTGCTGCCGCTGCTGCACCAACGTCACGTCTTTCTTGTGCAGCGCAGTCGGCTGTCTTGGCAACAACAAAACCGCTGTTGGCGCCGGGTATAAAACGGATGAGTCGCAGCCTGTGGTTATCAGTCACCACCTGACAGTGCTCCGGTTTTCGCATTTCGCAGAAGAGTTCAACTCACCAACAATGTCCGCCCTGAAAGTATTCGTAAGTGCGACAAGGATATCGGTCTTAAAAGTGCTTAACAAATTCCCTCTGTTTGGAGCTGAAAAAGGATTAAAATCAAGTGGACTATCGTGAACAAAATTGAATCATCGGAAAATAATATAAATAACCTATAACAGAAAATATAAATTAAAATTGATCTTGTTTAACAATCAAAATTAACAAAATCAACAAATTAAAATTTACGAATCGTTATTTTCTTGGATATAAAGTTGTGTGTCTTATATTATTTTGGAAAGAAGTCCCATCTGACATTTTACTATAAAATCCGCTTCTCAAAATACAAATTTTCCTTTAAGATAAATGTAGATTTTCAACAGTTATATTCCCTTTTTATTGTTCTATTTTTAATTAATTTATGAAGATCATCTAACTGAATCGTTATTACTTTTAGTATGTTACATATTCATTCAAGTATTTCTACCACATTGTCTGCTTAATTTTTTCTCAAATGCCTTGAAAATTTATCATACGGCTTTTAAATAAATATCAGGAACAGTTATCTAGCTTGAGCCAAATTAAGATTAATTATATTGATTATTTTCAATATACAATTTTTTTTGCACTTTTAACTCGGGCCTAAACACTTCCTTATCCCCTTTCAGATCTTCGTTGCCCTCTTCGCCGTGGCCTACTGCGCCCCCAGTCCTGGCTTCTTTGGCAAACAGTGAGTATCTCCGGTCGATCTGCATCTGCACCTGAACTGATCCATAAATAACCCGAGCGAATCGATAAAAATACCCATTTCCCGCTTTATGCTAAGCTAACGAGCGGTCGCATGGCTTTTTAAACGCTGCGACTGGGCACTGTGGGTATATAAAATATGTGTCCGATTGCGATCGAATTGAGCAATCAAAACGCTTGTAGCACTTAGAGCGCCCCGCTCCAATCGCAGTCTCTATATCATTGAACTTAGCCGATCTTGGCTTGGCCCGCGGCTTAGGAATTTCACAGGCTGCGGCCCGGCATTTAATTCATTGTAATGCGCGCATAATTGTGCGAACTAATTGCCAATTCCGATTGGCTGCCAAGACACAGGGTTCAAGCAACTGATTAGCTAATGTTATATAGCTGCCAATCTGACCGATTTCACTTTCGATCCGCAGCGAGCACCACACGATCCACGTGCCGTACAAGGTGCACACGGTGCACCATCACCACGTCCAGAAGGTCCATGTGCCGGTGGTGAAGCACGTGCCAGTGCCCATCTACAAGGAGGTCCCCGTACACCATGTCCACCACGAGGAGATCCCGGTGCCAGTGCACCACGTCCACCACGAGGAGGTGCCCATCCACCATGTCTTCGATGACCACCACCACGACCACCATGGTTGGGGCTCCCACCACGGACACGGCTGGCTGTAAGCCACCAGCTGGTCTGCTTGTCCGTCAACCCACCCACTCAGTCTAATAAAAAGCAGCCTGTAAATACTGTACAATGCCTAAGTTAAAGAATGTAAATAAAATCACAATTCGACTGTACACAGAATCAATTTTGCGCATTTATTGTAGGGCTCGTAGATAACCCACACAACGGGTATATATATAATTCGTTTATGATATGAATTTATTGTTTTTTAAGTTTTTTATAATATAATGGTTTTATCATAATCACAATTTTAATTATTAAACGTGCTCTGATTTTAGTTAAAAATTGTTTTATTAAAAATTGGGATACTTTTAGAACTGTAAATACAATTACTTTTGAATTCACTGTCAAAACTTACACAACTGCCGCTCTAACAATTTAAAATCCACAAACCCAGATCGAAAATATTATAACGAAGACCTCAAACGTTCTATAGACCACCGGCAATATGATCTATCTACAGAGTTGCTGCTGCTGCGTAGATCTACGCATCGGTACCATTGTCATTGGAATTCTGCATATTATAGCGGATATCCTAGGAGGTACCTTTGTTGCATTATTCGGGGAGTCTGGTAAATGGAGTTTTGGGACTTAAGGAACAGACTTAACCTGGTAGCCCGCAGGTATTCCCGATTTGGGTCACACTCTATTCATTATCTTCATGATGCTGCACATACTGAGCTGCGTATTCCTGATCATCGGCTGCTTTCGAGTGAGATATTATTTATTTCGAATCATTGTAATTATAATCTTTATTATTTCCCCTAGTTAAAGAGCAGCTGGATGCTCTTTTATATAATAATGACTATGATTATGACCCTGGCTATGATCATACTGATAATATCCGACGTTATACTCGTCATTTGGTACTGGGTAATGGTCACCTATGCCTTAATGTTCTGTGAGTAGCCTTGAGCTCCTGATTGCTGCAGATATTTTCAATAATCGACAACTCTTTCAGTTTTATGCCTATATTTCTGGCTGGTGGCCTACTCCTTTTACGCCGCCCTTGGAGGAGCTCTGTTCATCTGATCTAATACCATATAAATCTTGTATTAAATTGTACCGTGCTGATGGCAATAAAATCTTCTGTTCCTTGACAATTTATGGTCCTATTTAATCAGATTTTAGGGTTACAGGTCACAGGTCTGAAGTCCTCCATAGACATACTCAATTATTGATTTTTATTTATTTTTTATTTTGTACTTAGCATATTAACTTTTGTAGTTTCCAAGAATTCAAATAATAATTTTCCAATAATGAAATCTTACTTTATGATTACACATGTTTATAAAATTACTTTCATGAGTTGCACATTTTTTCCCACAGAGTTAAATAAAATAATTATTAATAGCGCCAAAAAATGGGGCAATGCCATATTGATTATAAATAAAACGAAATTTCGATTGCACGCACATTTCAGGTGAATTGGTCGGGAATGTGATAGTTTCGATTGGATCATTGCTCCATTAGTTAATCCCATTGCAAGACTGTAATTTGCAGTTGCACTTGACCTTGGGCTTGCCTCCCGAAGGCGGCAATTAAGCCGAAGTTTTGCAAGAACGACTTTCACAAAGCACTCACTCGACCAGCTCCGACTGAGGTCGACTGCCAGTCCGCTCCGCTCCCTTCCGATCTGGACCGATCCGATCCGGTCCGGTCACTCCGCTCCTTGCCCACGTAATGCTGTAACTCAGGGGCGTGGCAGGGCACATTCTCGGGGCATGAGAGCGACAGTTCCTAGTTCAACACGCTTAAAACTGGTCCTACGCCAATGGAAATTTTTAATTAAATAGTATTATATTGAATGTAGAATTTCGGCCTTTAATTCTCTTAAGGATATTTGTTAGTACTTTTAAATATTTTCATTAAAATTGGAAAGCTTTTTCATTATTATTTTTGGCACCCCAATCAATATGTGACTTTAATTGATATGTCACTTTAATTGAATTGTAAAAGTTCTTCTAAAATAGTTATTCATTTAAATACACATATATACTTCTATCTCACCTTTATTTAAGAGGTAAACTTCTCATTGGTTTTTTCAAATTCTCTTCGATTCTGAGAATCTTTAAACTTTCTTTTATTTTATGATGGTTTTTTTCATATTTTGTCGAGATAATATTCTACATTTATTGTTGACGACTTCTAGCATCTTTTTGATTTTAAACCGCTTTTGAATTCAAAGGATCTTTTCCTTATGGGATTTATGTTGCTATTGAAAATATACTTCGTATTTCTTCTTTCCAATTAAGATTGAAGAATAGAAAAAATTGGTTAAAATGTCTATTGATTTATTAGTAAGAAAAACCCCCACTAATATATTTTAGCCATATAAAGTCGAATTTCTTTTACCAACATTTTGCATTTATTTCGGCGCCAACAACAAAGAATTTCAGATTAATGTCCACTAATTGAGAACTGGGGAAAGGCGAAGCGTTAGAGTAAGTCGCGGGTAGCCGCAAGAGAAGCGCTTTAGTTGCAGTAGGGGAAGTTGGGGCACTGGTGCGGCGAGACTCCGGCGGGATAGAGACGCTCCGTCCAGCCGGGAAGCGGAGGAGCAGCCACCGGGGCACCGGCGTGTCCGGCATTCACGTCGCAGTACGGATAGTTGGGGCACGTCTGGGGATTGATGCCAGCCGGATACTTGTCGCCACCGGCGGCAGGGGCCGGAGCCGCGTTCCACGAGGGCTGGGGCTGCCATTGGGGCTGAGGCTGGGGGTTCCACTGCTGCTGGGGCTGCTGCCACTGTGGCTGCGGCTGCGCGTTCCACTGGGGCTGCGGCTGCTGCCACTGCGGCTGCGGGGCACCCCACTGTGGCTGGGGATTGTGCAGGCGCGCATTATCACAGATGGGGAAGTTGGGGCAGTCCTGGGGATTGACGCCAGCCGGATACTGGGCAGCAGGTTGGTGCTGTGGCTTGGCCACCGCCAAAGCCACGAAGGTAGCGAAAAGCTGGAAGTATAGAGGTTAAACATTATATAGATATTTTTAATTTCTGCAGGTTTGAGGAATTGATTGATATTTTCTAAGGCATTAACATAAAATAGGCATCAGCAAAAATAATGTAGATTTGAAAAAGGATTTTTAAGTGGAGAAAAATAAGATTGAAATAAGGAGTCATTTAAATTGGAGTTTTTAAAATTTCGATATTACCCAAAGTTTAGCTTTTTTATTGCTAATTACAAATAAATATTGATTTTCGTCCAAAAATTAAATATGAACCAATTTTTGAAATGTTATAGATTTTAGCTCCCATCATATTAAATGAATTTTATAGAAACTTAACATTTTTGAATAAAGTTGTGTAAATTTGAAAGAAACTATTTTTAGACTCTAGCCTTGAACAGAGCCTGGCTCAATGGGCACTTACCAGCTTGAAGAACATGTTGGCTGTGCTGAGTGGGTGGGTGGTGCTGGAGTGGAAGTTGGAGTTGGTTCTGGTGTCGGGGGCTATGGTAATCCTTGGCCAAATTGGACTATGAAGTCGTAGCTCAAACTTCCAATTGGGTTCCTGGTCAGCGCTGCACTGCTGCTGCCGAGCCCGGCCATCAAGCTTATATAGCTGGTGCTGCCTAGAACCGACTCTTGGCCGGGTCTCAATCTCAGCCAGAGTCTCTCGGCCCAGACTCGGTTTCACTTTCATTGCTATTGCCGCTGTGATTGTTGCTTTTGCTGCTGCTGCTGCTGCCGCTGCAGTTGCTTTACTTTGCTTTACTTTTGCTTTTGTTTTTGTAGTTGACTGATCTCGCGCATATTTTACTTGATTGGCCCAACAGATTATTATGAGTCTTTGTTGTGGAGCGCGGACAAATAAATCGAACGGGGCCGACGGACAGGCATATAGGTGTACAATGTACAATGTACACATATACGGGTGGGTAATATGCTTAAACACCCAACTATGCAAACACATACGAGTGTGCACTTATATCGAGTTACCGACATGCCGTCATTAGCAATGAACTAAGCCCCCAACTTGCATTTCGGCCAAAAAAAGAAATCTCCGGGCTGGTTTTGTATATTGTGTGTACGAGCATTTTTGACAAAGTCGCGTTGGCGTTTGGCCAATTTTCGATCCGCATTCGCCAGTACCCATGCTTTGGTATGACTTGGGGATCAGCAGTTCGTGAATCACTTTACTCCGATTCCGATTCGGATTCGGATTCGGTATGGGATCGTGTAAGAGGCACAGGTCGCCATCGGTTCTGCCATTGGTTCCACCATCGCCTTGGCATGCCACTGCCACATGTCGCCCGGTCTGCCCGGAAGGCAGCGGTGGTCCGAGTCATTGCAAACGGGTTTCGGTGCAGCGAACTTGCACTAGATCTCAATGCACAACATTCGAGAGGCGGCGTCGGCCCGGGGTTCACTTCTAGGTGTTAGGGCTGGGCGATATGTATTTATAGTTTTGGGCTCTTAACGTACATCTTAAAATTCACCCTATCAATTTTACCGTAAAACCAATAGGAACAACGTAAATTCTTATTTTCTAAGTTTTGAAATTTTATAAAATTAAATTTTAAGTATATCCTAGCTTTTGCATAACAATACAAAACATTTTGAACGTTTAAAAGATGCAGAAAATATTTTTAACAATCAAATTTAACATACAGAAAAACTTTTTTAACTAAAGCCCGTACAGTTTAAAAAGTTTCTCGTCCGCCTGGTAAATATAAAGTAGGGTTAAATCTCTGACTTCCCATACGATTTCAAGGTTCTAACCCTACTTTAAATTAAACAAACGGACGAGAAAACGGCCCTAAGGATGCTTGTTCCAGTTGAACAAAATTTAGTGTAATTATAGTAAAACATTTTAAAAATTTAACAGTTCTTAACTTAAAGAGTGATTGGAGTTATATCTTTTTATTTGAAGTATCTTATATTAAGGGACTATAAGTATCAGAAATTACTAAACAAATAATTCTACGCATTCCATCCCTAGTTTCAGATTTTATCCGCTGGCAGTTCTATTTCCGATAACCCGTTATAGGTTGACGGCCGTTCACTCATTCGCACCACGCAGTGCCAGTGAAACTGAGTTCGAGACCGCCTTACGCACCAACGATCGACGACTTCCTGGGCGACTTCGTCAGGCTGAGTTGGGAAATTCAATTACGTGGAAAAGAGCGAAAATCGCACTACCACACAAATTATGAGCTAATCAGGCAGCGCCCAGTGCCCGCGGGTCGGCACACGACGATCGGGCTTACATGGCTACATATATGAACATGTTATATTGGGGGACAGACGTGCCCAATTGTTGGCAACGGTGTAACAGATTTAGTTTAATTCTTATAATTTGTGTTTGCCGCCAGCCATTGGCAGGAATTTGCGCGGGCGCGGCACCGTCCAATCCACACACTCCAATCCCTGCCCCGCTGCTCCACTGTGATTACTACTATACAGAGAAAAAACAAGATCAGTTCTACATGCAAACATTGCGTTTTCACTATTTTTATACAATTTGGTTACAATAAAATTATTTGGGTTCTAACAATATGATTAAAGGTGTGATAAGTTCTTAAAGTTTTGGAAATTTTTCAGTTCTTATTCGGGTTAAATTGATTTTAAAATAATTATTTAAATTAATCAAAAAAATCATGAATCATTAAAATGTGAAATATAATTTAGAAGCGTTTTGAGATTCTAAAATATATACTTCTGATTTTATACAATTTTTACTATTTATTAAAAATTATCAATACATTAAAAATTATTTAAGATTGTAAGTTACAAATATCAATCTATATTTTCAGTACGATTTTATCAGGGCTTTTAAATATTACTTCAGAAATGGTAAACATTCACCTACAATTTGTTAGGACTTAAATCTTTGCTTTACATGAGAAAAGAACTAGCGTTTCACAGATATTTGCTGTTCTTCCTATATAAAATTAAAAACTTTTTCCGAATTATCGGAAATTAATTACCAAATTGGGTGATTTTTTCGTGTGTAGGTGGGCGCTGGTGGTGCTGGTGTTGGCCGGCTAATGCGTTATGTTACGTTGCTGCACCGCCAGATTGCCAGGCCAGCCAGCCAGCCGATCGATCTCGTTAGCCTTGATCAATGGCCCGGAAAAACAGAATAAAGCTAAATAAA